GAGATGGTTTTAGACCGAAATGCATGGTGTCGACTGCGAAGAATACAACTTCTGAGTAAAAAAGTTCAGAAATGGCGTCAGAGAAGACAAAATACGCGAGAGCACGTCGTTTGAGAGAGCACGCTGATCTCTACATCAATGCACGCTGATCTCACCACATCTCGCGGTGGGTGGGAAGCGTTGGAAGGGGTCGATGGTTGCAGGCCCGTAAGGATTAGCGCCCTAACCGCGCAATTTTCGCGACGAAGCTGGAGTGATCTAGGTAGGTACGGACCTTACAATCCCTCCAACTAGTCGGGCTAATCCAGAGGTTTACCTTTGAGGAAGTCTGCATCAGGTGGGCGGGGCTTCATGAAAATGGGCGGCACTAGTGAATTTACTCCATCAAAAGAAACTCTCGGAAAAATTGGTTGAGAACTGTAATATCAGACGTGGTCTCAGCATTTTGGAAGCGATGCGGTTACGAGAAGTCCTCTAGACGAGGGAATAGCGTACACAAGTTGACGGAAGAACAACACTTTTGCAGTATCTCCGCGGCTGCTTCCTATAGCTTGCCGGAAGGTGGGTGCGGTAGTTGCGAATAACAGTGGCGAGAGCAAACGAAACTGCTATCAATCCGCGGTGGTGCCGTGAGAAAACGAAGGTAGAACAACGGGAAACTGACTCAGTCAAGAAGCAGGTGCACCTCTAAGGGTACACACCAATACGCAATTTTCATCAAATGATGTGCTCCCGACGATCTAACATGGCTTTCCTTTTGGCGCAGTTGGCGGGAACGCCCACCGAATATCTAATCGCAGGTCTATACGTGGCGAGTGATTAGATAGCAGAGAGAGCGTAGTGTTGAAGAGGGCACAGCGATGAGAGTCGCATCAATGCGCAAATCAACGGGCAAGGGGGGTCCCATTTCTCGGGTTTCGGGCCGTTTCAATGGTTTCTTCTTCATCCTGCTCCACTGACCACCTCTACCCTTATTTCCAATGAGCTAACTTTTCATCGCAAATTCTGCCTTTAAGATCAAGCGCTGGCAAGATTAGATACGTGTTGATCGATTAAGCTGGAGATAACCTACTACTCCAATCTTGTCAGCGCAATATCCTCTGCTGCTTTCCTGATATCCCATCGCCCAACATACTGATATCCCATGCGAATTATGACCGCGGCTTACCTACAAAATAATCTTCAACAGTGAAAGATTAACGTATCTTCACCTGAAACAGCAGCAACGTAAACATTTGCGTGTGAAGCTTCCGTAGATTGTTGCTGAGAGTAGCTTTCCTGAGAGTT